ATTGGTGCCCAGTTGGGAAACCTTATGATACCATTGTATGATATCATTGTGTTTCTGTTTCTTGTGGGTTTTTTTCCCCGCCGGGGACCTAGTAGTAGTAGTAGTAGTAGTAGTAGTAGTAGTAGGAGTAGTTACAGCTTAAAAATCCTCCTTGAATCGTGACTAAGTGGGATCCTCGCAACTTCCATACATCCCTACTACAGGGGCCTATTTTTTTTTCAGTTTTATGGCCCTAGCTTCCTTGTAATAGTTTAGGTTACCTCAGGCAGACTTCCAGGTGATATTGGTAGTTGTTATGAGCCCTGCATTAGGTAGGGTCCCTAGGGCAGCAGGGGCCCAGTATTTTGAGAAACCCCTATACGAGGTTCATACAGGGACTACACAGGGCTTATATGGAGGGGTTGCAGATTTGGGTCTTCAAGTTCTACAACACATACATGTGCCTTTGACATCCATGGCTGTATGTGTCGGTTGGAGAGGACTCTCCAAAATAGCTTAGCAGATTGTGTGCGTGTTGAGGCTTAGGCGCTGAGGTTTTTTTTGTTTGAGACTTGCTCTACCCAGACCCTCCTACGCATTTCCTTTTCAGATAGTACATTCCAGCCAGTTGCCAGAAACAGAACAAACACAAAAAGGAACCACTTAGGAGGTTGTGGGTAAGCTTTCAACAGCAAGCTTGCGTTAGATTCTGCCTCGCAGATCGTGCTTAAGGTCTTTCACTGGGCAGGCTTGGATGTATCATTACTTTTCACCACTGAAGAAATGTTTTTCTTTGGGTTGTACAGGCTGTTATTGTGACAATCTGGTACGGAATAGGAATCCTTTTGTGCTCTTGCTTCAGCCCAAGAGTGGCCGCGCCACTGCGCGAGAACCTGAGATGCAAACCTACAGTCTTTGGCCCAAAAAATTGGTGTTTCCCAAAATTGGGGGTACCAGTTTGGGGGTCCCCATAATAAGGATTATACTATATTGTGGTCTATTATATTGGAGTCCCTCATTTTGGGCAACATCCAAATCTAACCCCCGCGAAACCATCGCAACACACTTTGCGCAAGAATGGCCCAGGAACGGCTATGAAAGGCTTCTTCAGCCCCCGAGGAGACGAGGGGGCTTGTTGGCAAATTGGATGTAACAGACCTCCCACTAAGAAGGTATAGCAGAACTTGTCCATCGTTTCTTCCGACTTTGTTTCTCTATCTCTCTCTCCCCCCCCCCTCTCTGTCTGTCTCTCTCTCTCTCTCTCTGCATAGGAGTCTCTGGGTAGTAGTCCTAAACCCTCAACCCCAAAGCCTTCTTCTTTCAGGGTGGCGGATTGAAAATGACAAAGATGTAGGTGAGTTGGGGTTCAGTTGTAACTCTTAGGTTTGCAAGTTGAGCAGCTATAGTCAAGAGCCTCGTATGTAGTTCCTTTTTGCATGGGTAGTATCCCCCCGCCGAGCAATAGTGACTATACGGGTTTATATTGATTGTATTAGGACCCTCGCATATTCCTATCGTATCACCATTGCAGGGTGAGGGGTCTAGAGTCTACCTAAGGTATATTATCAGGGCCAAAAAAGAGAAGTACAGGGGAGCCTTAGGGTTAGGTATCCTTTGCAGGCTGAGGGCTCAAGGTGTGGGATGAGGATTGGTGCAGTGGACCTCCGGAATAAGAGCTGGGCATCCAAACGTTAGAGTCAAGCAGGAGGCACCCAGGCGACATCAAGGGTTTGCGTCAGGCCGGATTTGACTGGGATTCGAGAGCTATAGCACTGTAGCACATCTGAATCTGGTCGTCTGTTTTGGAAAACAGTTTGGAGTCGAATCCCCAAACAGTTCCTGTAGCTTTTGGGTTCCGTATGGTGACCGCATTGGCGAATCCATGTTAACATTAAAACGTGCTAGCATTTTCAGATGTGTGACCGACCCTAGGCGGGAAAACTTTTCAGTGTGCTGATTGCAGGATGGTGTGTGATGTGACGTACTGGATGAACCAGATCTTGTACGACCTTCGGGCGCCGGCTTTCACCCTGAACACAGCAATCGAAGCAACGCCTCGGCCTCAGTTGATCCGCTCAGAAGGTACAGTTGGCAAAACAGAGGTGTGTAACGCACCGTAACACCATTCATATCTCAGCATTGTACAACTGGCCGTTGTAGTAAACCCGAGGCCATGCGTTTCTTCTGCTCCTGTTTGATTTCGAAGTATGCGCGCTTTGTGGTACCAAGACTTACGCCCCTCATTGGTTTGTGCATGTTACAAGCATACGCATTTCGGAAACCTACAAAATCAGCGCGGCAGGCCTGATATTAAGTCAGTTGGCCACTTCTCTAGTTTCGAAGCTCACATCAGCCCTCACCACCTTATCACGTCTCAAATTTAGGGCCTTGGGACCTAGCAGCCCTCCGTCATTCATTCGCCAAGACCGAAGCCCCATGTTCTTAACCCTCCTCCTACCCTTTATTAGGGCCTAAGTACCTACTATTAGGGACCATGTATCCCCAATTAAGGGTACAAGGAGGGTCCTAGTATATAATTCCAGTTTCCATTTCATTTTCCATTTTCTTTTCCATTTGATTCTCCAGTATTGTAGCTTCCATTTTAGTTTCCATTACCCAATTAAGGGTACAAGAAGGGTCCTGGTTTTAAATGCTAATTTGATTTTCCATTATCCCTATTATCCCAGTTTCCATTTCATTTCCATTTTCTTTTCCATTTGATTTTCCATTATCCCTAGTATAATACAGACCCAATAGCCCACAAGGCCTAAGCCAAGGACACTGGCGAGCCGTGTGGGCGGCTTGCAGTGCTGCATCATGCCTGCCTGCTGTGGGCTCTACGAGCAAGAGGTCAGGGTTTCGCACAGTTGTGTTGGGGGTTGGAGTTCCTAGGAGAGAGAGAGAGAGAGAGAGAGATATATATATATATACATACAGAATTTATAGTGTTTAGGGTTTAGGGTTTTGGGCTTAGGGCGCTTGCCCTACAGGAAGGATGTCAATGTTGCCGCATAGAGGGACATCTCTGCTTGAGAACCGGCGACACGAGGGTGTTGGTCTTTGGGCACGTGAAGGGTCTGCATTGTCGCCAGATATGCATCGATTTCTTGCGCATGGCATACCTGAAGTGTTGGCACTCAGCAAGAATCCGTGTTTCTCGAAGCGCAATCTGCCTGTTGTTTTGACCTGGTCAGACCCCGCATCATAATCAACCATGTGATCACACATGCTGCTTCTGGGTGAGCCACAATGAGCAGGTCATCAATGATAAGCACTACCCAAGGGCTCCTATGTAGTTCTTTCGTGTTCTTGGTATGCTTGGTCGGGTTTTATTATGCTGCCAAAAAAGGAACTACACGGGAGGGTCTGTGCAAATCCCAAAGCTGCAGTACTCGAATTCTCTTTGGGCGTTGCACGCTACCAATACCGTTGTTGTCGCCGCCTCTGCACAAGGGCCCTCTGGTCGTGTTCCCTACTGTACCTCACAGGAGCTTATCCGAGACCGGATCCGGCCAGGGGACATGCTGGCGCCAAGCTTGCATGGCAAAACTTCTTGTGTGCAAGTTTCTCACTGTCATCTGCGCTTTCCCAACTTAAAGTCTATACGGGCCCGAAAGCAGTCTGTAGGGTTATCTTTTTAATTGGGTCCCTAGATGAGGTTCTTATTCTGGGGAGATGAGGGGAGATCCCTTTGAAGCATTCTGTTGGTATGCTTCCATACCATAGGCCTTATCGTTTCAAGCCGCCGTTGAATACCTGTTGTCTGAGGTATGAGTCTGCTTCCAGATATGAGTCAAGAGAGGCCCCTTAGTGGCATTTGCCGATATTAGTGGCCTACTGTCCTACCCATGTGTGTTTTTTCAAGCAAGAACGTCGCGGGGCTGCGGCTCGCGGCTCGCTCCGAAGCTTCTTTGCTCTCATGTGCAAATGAGCTATAGTCTAAACTCCCTAGAGGGGGGTTGTATGAGGGATCATGTAGAGGAATACCATAGGTGATATTACAGGGGAAACTAGGAGTTTAGACTATGGCCCCTATGATGACTGATTGACACCAACCGGTGACGGCAAGATACGGCAAGCATAAACCAATGAAGACAATGTTGCTCAAGGTTGTACAATTCAGATCGCAGGTTGGGTTCGCATCAGCCACAGTACGTATCGGTAGAAACCCTAAACCCTAGCCCCCAGAAAAGCAAGTGTAAGCGAGACAGAGACCTTATTCAATACATGCAGGCCGCGGCATTCAGGCGACCCCTCGCATGTCCCAAGCAGGACTCTTTTTGAAGACCATAACCCTAACCCTAAACCTTAAACCCTAAACTGAAAACCTAACCCTGCATGTTGGCGTATTTTCGCATCCTTGGAAAGTATCCGCCAGTAGTACCTACGTACTGTGGGCTATTTGGACCGAGGCTACTTCGGAGGGTCCGGGAGACTTAGCAAGTAGGCTAATAGTGCGGATAACTGGGGTTATTATATGGCCTCAAGGACTTATACACCTAAACCCTCAACCGATATGGTAGTTTCCATTTTCTATTCCATGCCTCACTATAGACTTATGAAATATACTCACGAAGACCCCCCCACCCTAAACTCTACAACCGCAACCCTAAATCCTAAACCCCAAATCCCAAATCCCAAGCCCTAAATCCTAAATCCTAAACCCCAAACCCCCAAGTAGTGCGGCTCTGAAGCCCTCACCGCAAGCCCGCTGCGAGGTGATCTCTGTTGGTGGTATCTGCGACAGATTTGGACAGTGCTTTACCTGGACCCCCCAAAACTAATCTGTTAAGGGTTTATGGTTTAGAGTTCAGGGGTTTAGGGTTCAGGGTATACGGTTTAGGGAGTCATGACCCTTTTGGCTGTTTTAGGGCTGTTGAGCACCTTGTTTATTTACTGTCAGGGTCCAGGTGGCGTTTGGGGTATAGTTTTTCCAGCCATTCCTCCCAGGCCAGCGCAGAATCGCCAGAAAGCAACAAGATGTGGGTGTTTCCAGAACTTTGGCGTTTTTTTTTTGGGAAGTGCCCTTAGTAAGTAAGGATTGTACGTAGTGACGAAGTATGAATATTGAGGGTACATAGTGGGAACCCCTACTGGCATTGTGCAAACTACCATTTCAGCTCCAAACAGAGACTTCATGTCCAGCCTCATAGAGCCCTGCTGGGAGGCAAAATTGGTAGAACTCGGTGGCTTATAACAATCTCAGGTAAGTATTATGGGCCACTAACATGGGCTAAGGGGGCCTTTTAGGGTCCCTTAAGGGGGCATATAGGGCATATAGTAGGTATATGAGGATCCCAGGGTGTAAGGCCCATACTAGAGGCCCATTGTTTCGAGCTTTGAAACAACCAGGTGTGGAGCCTACTTGTACTCTGTTGTCTCTGTAAGGCCGGCGAAGGTTGCAAGGCACAAGTACTGGACTGAGTTGTAAGTAGTTGTGAAGTCCAGCGATACGCCCTTTGGGTGCACATGTGCGGGGGCCGTCAGCACCAGAAATACCCTAGCCAAACTCTAACACCTTAACCCGCCTCCACCAAAGAAGAACAAGAAGCACCAATCAAGCTGAGGCAATGACATTGCCCTTGCCCCTTCCATCTTCACAGTGCTAGCTATGGTTCTCTTGACATCCGGCCATTGTCAGAGGGCTCGGGGTTTAGGGCTTGGGGCTTTAGACTTTCCTTTTGTTATCTCCACCCTCTAAGAAAAGTAAACATACAAAAGTAATAGTTACAAAGCGCTTGTTACAGGTACATAGGTACTGTGGGTAGGATTTAGGTTTTGGGACGCAGGGATTGGGTTTTGGACTTACTAGTAGGGTTTAGGGCTTGGGGTTGACGAAGCCCATGCAAGCAGTTTAGGGTTTAGGGTTGGTTGTTTATTCAACATATTGGGTCCCCTGTGTAAGCTAAGAAGGTTTTTGGGTTGGGGGATGTTAGGGTGGCCTAACTTTGAGAAGCCTGCTTTTGCTCTGGAAAGTGTAGCTTATTTTTGCAGGGGCGTGTGTTGCGAGTTTTTTCACCCAGGTTACATCTGTATACAGTCCTCTGCTCCCCTAGTATTTCTGCTTCCCACAGGGTCCATGTACTCAATACTAGAAGTACCCAAGACTAGAGTTACACGAGATTGGTAACTACAGTGAAGGTTTCGGGGAAGAATATGGAAGTTTCTACAAGTAGGGGGACCCCAACGCAGACCACCAAATCTTGAAATCCTTTTCGGCGCCCGAAAATGGGACCTCTGATTTGTGGACCCCCCCCCCCTCCCACCCGAATATGGTTATTGGGGGCAGAGACCCCCGGGGCTCTTGTGCTGAACCCTAAACCCTAAACCCTAAACCCTCAACCCGGAGCTGAGGATGCTAACGCCTTGGCCGTTGCTGTTCTGCTTCCACCCTGCAGTGGCGTACTTCATTGGGCTTTTCAGATTTCAGGCACGGCACGTCTTGGTTGGCATTCTTAACCTAAGCTTCCAGTATACAATAGTTGCATCTATATATATATATATACATGCACATACACACACTGTGGGGTCCTTAGAAAAGGTCATTGCTATATAGGTTATTGGGAGTATATGATAATTATAGGGTCCACAGGCACCGATCCTCGTCGACAACTTTACTTGCAGGTTCAGCGTAAATATTCAAAAAGCGCTACCCAATGGGGGCACTGGGTTGCTGCTAAGGAACTTACTTTAAGTTACTGTATTGGGGAAACCCTATTGTTTACTCTATATATATATATTATACATATATATTGCAACTTGAACCCTAAACCGTTTACACACTATATGCCCGATTATACCTTATTATATACCCTATATACCCCCTCTTATATTCCCTGTTATTACACACATTGTGGTAGCTTAACTTAATTTCCTTGACAGCAACCCAGTTGAATGTCAGTATTTGCGAGCCAAGAAATGACAGCCCAAACCCTAGATGTATGTGGGGGTGTCCCAACATCAGGTGTACCTTTAAGGGGGACATGGGCGGGTATATAAGCTAATATGGGGATCAAAGTAAAATATAGGGTTTAGGGTTTCGCAAAAGTAGGGGTAGCTGTTTGGGGTTCCCTGTGCTGAGTATCTTGGGGGTCTATATTGGGCTCCCCCTACTCAGGGAAACTACCATGTCTTCCCTGCTGACTAATGACATTCGGGTGATGCTGCGCAGGTACAATGCTATGCAGACAGATTGACGCAAAGAACACGTCCTTCCAAAATCGGAGTCTGCATGATCTACAATTTGGATGAGCGAAATGGCGAGCTTCTTCCCTTGCATCACCTTAAGGGTCCAAGTACCAAAATCTTAAGGTTTTACCTAGAGACATGTAGACCCTGAAAAAGGTAGAGATACGATAATATCAGAGCAGTTTTTAGAGGTACATTGGCCACTCCCTGCTGAGGACCTCAAATCTTAATGTTCTGGTGCTCGGACCCTTGTGCGAGCAAGTGCCGCAGCGCGGGGTTGCAATTCCGTTGCAGCAGTGTACGTAGAAGCAATTCAGGGCCTGCCTAGGTGTACCTAGAGCACTCCTACAAACCTGAACCCTAAACCCTTAACCCCCTAAAACCCTAATCCCTAGGTTACTCTAGGTAGAGTGGCAGCAAGACCTTGGAAAGCTAGAGTGTCCTGCTCTTCGATGGTCAAGATGGTTGGAATTAGGGTTTAGGGTGTAGGGTTACTGCATGACGTGATGGCTTGTGTGTTTTTTTGGCAGGTGGACTAGTGAAATGGAGTTTTCCATATATGTAGCATATTCTTGATGTCAAGCAGTCTGCATGCCTTCAGTATACCAGAAACCCGTCATCTTAAGGTACCAGGTAGTTACAGCCACGCAGGATTTGTAAATGACATTTTCCGCATGCTTGTCCGCTCCTCAGCTATGGGCCCTAATATCCTTGTACAGCCCACACGAAGTCGCTATACCCCCATTATAATCCTACATAATCCTGTATCCCCCTTTGAGTTTAATGAGTACGTAACAATCTGAGGTCCTGGGCAAACATGGCATTGTGCATCCTCTGCTACACCTGCTTTCCGCGCTGCAGCTGCGGTTACTGGGTTGTTGTTAAGGAACTTAAATTAAGTTACTATAATGGGGAAACCCCATTATTTACTATATATACCCATTATAGTAACTCAAATTAAGTTCCTTAACAGCAACCCAGGTTAAGGTTCAGGATTTAGGGCCTCCGCAGGGCTGCCCATCTACTTCGGGCTTCTGGGGTCACCAAAATGAGGGGCGCAGCGTCTTAGGCTGTAAAGGAGCTATAGTCTAAACTCCTTAAAGGGGGTTATATGGGGGATTATATAGGGATCTACTATGGGGGTTATTAAGGGGGATACTAGGAGTTTAGACTATAGCTCATATGCCGCACCCTAAACCCCAAATCGATGTCGCCAAGCCAAAAATGTTTTGCTGCCAAGGCGTGCTGTCTGAAGGCAAACCTTTTTGCCTGGACCATACACCAAACTTGGCAGAACCTCCAAAGCCAAGCTCAAATGAGCTACAGGGGCTTATATATAGAGTATTATATAGGGGACTAGTATAGGGGCTATAAAGGGGATATTAGAAGTTGCTGCAAAAAAAGAGTAAGGATCATGTGATCTTGGTATTTGGGTTATGTTGGGATAATGGAGAATAGAATGGAAACTACTATTTAGGGTTTAGGCTTTAGGGCTTAGGGTGTAGCCTATTGGTTGCAACCCTGAATTGCTCAATGCAGTGATTTATCAAAGTATGTTTTCCTGTGTGTCACAAACAGCGCATGAAACATCTCAAGCCTGTTTGGGGGGCTGGGAAGAATTCGGGTTCAAGTGATCAATCAAGGGGCTCTGGTGGTAGCAGTCTGAATGGCTTGGGGTTCGCAAAAGTTGTACCAAATGATTGGGGAGCATGCTTTTCCAAATGAAGCTGGGGAAGTGTGTTCCCAAATGGGTGGTTGTCAAAAATCTGGTCCCTTTTTGGGTCCCTATTATATTACGGCACCTAATATTTTAGGGTACCCAAAAAGGGACCATAATTTTGACAACCACCCAAATTACCCAGCAACTGGCCAGGAGCATGCTTCAGCGCCGCATGAGGCTGGGGGGAGGGGTTAGGGTTTAGGGTTTAGGGGCTCATTGTTCCCAGGTAGTTAAGAATGATATCCCTAAATCCTAAAACCTAAATAGAAGAAAAAGCAGGAAAGGACTGGAATTTGGGAGAACATGGAGTTTAGCGTCTAGCAACAAGCCAGGCAGGTATCGCTAGAGGTCCCTGGAGGTTAAGTATCTCTGTTCAGTACCTGGAACCATGAATCTGGGACGTACAGCCCTACCATTTGAATCTTTTGACCCTTAGGGCATCTTGCGAAGCACCAGTACTAGCTATGGTTTCGTAACAGTAGTCAGAACAGATTTGCCATAGGCGATTACCTGAGTCAAATTTTGGGTTGCTCCCATCTAGTCGTATCTAGCGTTAGTCGTGTCTTTCCTGACAGAATCCCAAAAGGTTCACATAGCTACATAGTGTATCCTTGGGCCCTTAAGTAGTTCTATCGGAACCCCGTTGGACCCCTAATATACTATACATCTGGATGGACCCTTTTGGAATACGTGGGGCCATACTCGGAGACTGAAAAAATAATGAGCGCAGAAAACAATAACGGCAAGCCCAATATCCGAAAGCACTTCTTGCTGAGGCTGCTTGGTGGTTTCCATAAATACGCTGCCAAGATACGGGCTATGGTCTGAACTCCTAGTATCCCCCTTAATAACCCCTATAATCCTCCCCTATATACTCCCCTTTCGGAGTTTGAGATTATGGCTCATATGAACCCCAGTACATTAGAATCCTTATTACATATAGGGACTCCGAAAAAGAGGCCTGTAGTGCTTGGAAACCCTAAATCCCATGAATCCCTATAAACCCTTATATAATATGTCCCTGCACAACCTAATATTTCCCTACATCACCCTTCCATCGCCCCATAAAGGGACCCCCGACGCCCGATTCTCGTGAGTCCGAAGCCGCCAAAGGACTCCGGCATCGGCCTTTGAGGGCTTAGGGCTTAGGGTTTGGGGGGTTTAGGGTGTAGGGTTTAGGGTTTGGGGTTTAGGGTTTAGGGTTTAAGCTTTTGGGGGAGATTTTTCGAGGCCGTAATTTATATGCATATACGTGAGAATACGTATATGTATACGTATATATACACATATGATATGTTTTTGCATGCGTATATAGATATATATATGTGTTTATTTAAGGGGCTGCGCCCAG